TAAATATTTTAAAAACTAACCACTTCCTAATTATTTTCCTGCATTTTACTATTGTCTTTGGTAATTGTATTGTATCTGGGAATTGTATACCATGGTGTATTCCTATGCATTTCTTCCCATCTCTGGATTCCCTGACATCACATTGGTAGCTTGAATCAGTTATGGAACAGTATTTACACTATGAAACTGAGCAAATGTTGCAAATCAAGGTTTGCCCTCACACCTAAAAGCTGGTTATTAAACTTTTACTTACCATTACACTACTGGATCAGGGTCAGAGTGTCCCACTAGTTCCTGTTATTCTTTTGCTGAATGTTGTCATGAGTAAAACAGAGACTGCATTGAGGAAAGGATTGTTTAAAAAAAAAAAAAAAAGTGCTTACACCTTAATGAAGGTTTCCCCCATAGGTAATTTTAAAACACTTTCCTATGTTAAGCATCCAAAATACTCCATAACCCCCAAATCATAAGCAATGAAGAAAAAGCTGTTCATTTCATTACTATCAATAACAATGGTCTCCTTTCGTATAGCATTCTGTAGTTACATATTATCTAATAAGAGTATCATGCTAATTCCCTAAGCTAGAATGGTAGCTATTATCATCACTACTATATAAATGACAAATCTATTTATATAGAAATTTCAGACTCCATAAGATTATTACTTTCCCATGATTATTCAACTTGCAATTGAAGAACATTACATATGGATTCAGATTTTCTGACTGCAAATCAAGTGAAAATTCCACTTACGTGATGAATGTTATATTCTCTACCAAAGGCTTATTAATTGTGAGTTAGAGATATCTCCCCCAACACCTCCCTTTCCCACTCCTTCCGCTCTGCTCAGCATGTTGGATGCTAAAAGTTAAACGTATTTGATTTTGTAACAATTTTGTAACACTAACAAATGTTTTTCAAATCCTTCTGGCTCTGTTATTATAGTATCTTTATTTAATCAGCTCCCATTGATGGTTATTTAGATTATTTATAATTTTTTGTTTTTACAATGAAGAATCCTGTCAGTAAAGCATATCTATAGGATAAGTTTCTACAAGAAGAATTGCTAGATTAAACTATATGGAGATCATTCAATATAGTGATGAACAATCTCATAGTGATGAAGAGTCTGGGCTCTTTCCCCTGCTAGCTATGTGACCTTGGGAAAGTTATTTAAACTTCCTGTGCCTCATTTCCCTCATCGCTAAAATAGGGATAGTAGCAGTACTTCTCATAGATTCTTTGTGAGGATTAAGTGAGTTGGTACATGTAGGGTGCTTACAACAGTGTCTAGAATCTAACCGCTCAATAAATGTCAACTCATTATTATTGGCATTGAAAATTTTAGATAGATATTTACAAGTTTCTCCTCCTAAGTGTATTATACTTGATACTTCCATCAACATGAGAATGACTGTCTCTTCACACCATCAGCACTGTGTCTGATGGTGCTTACACCTTAATGAAGGTTCCTCCATAGATAATTTTAAAACACTTTCCTATGTTAAACATTCAAAATACTCCATAACCCCCAAACCATAAGCAAGCAATGAAGAAAAAGCTGCTCATTTCATTACTGTCAATTAAACTACTTGTTAATCTTTGATAACCTGATAGAAATAAAAAGATATTATGGTATCTCATAATAGCTTTTTATTTCTCTAATTAAGCATGAAGTTAAACATATTTTCACGTGTTCATTTGTTTCATGTCCTAAATATTTCATGTTTTGCCTATTTTGTTATTTGTTATTGATCGTACTATTGATTTGTGGAAATTCTTTCTGTATTAGGGGGTTCAGCCTTTGTCTGTGCTATGACTTACTCTTTCATTGTATTCCATACTTTTTTTATAGAACTTATTTCTATTTTTAATCATGTCGTTATGACGATTTAAAGCTTCATATGATCAAGGGTCATGTCTGTTTATCATTGTATATTAAGCATCTAGCAAAATGCTGAACACATAATAAAGCATCGAAAAATGTTTAATGAATGATACATGGGCCAGATATGACAAAAAAAATATTTGATACATAAATAGACTGGGAAATTAGACAGGAAACTATTTTGTCTGGAAAGCTAATGAGTTTGGCTTTGGATATGTAGAGTTTTAGGTAACAGCCAGTATTCAAAGTTGAATATGTTTAAGACTCTTACTTTGGCAAGATACTCATGAAGATTTTGGAGCCATCACTATGAAGTTGTTGATTCGAAACAGATGATCTCTGATGGAAAGAATGTTATGGGAGGGTTCATAGGCGATACTTCTAATCAAAAACAATTTCAGGTGGCTATAGTCGTAACATTTTAAAAACAAATATGAAAAGAAAAAAATAGAAGCATTGTATATTTCCAAGTATAAAGATATGGGAAATGTAGGAATATTTTAATATTTGGAACAATAATGATTATTGAAAAGTATTTAGATAATGTTACAGTTATAGCCAAATCACTTATGAAGAAATGAAACTTTTGTTCATGGAAAACTGAGTCCATCAATAAGCTTGTGGAAATCATAAGTGCTATTTTTGTATAAGGTAGGCTATTTGTGCTTTTTACTTTATAATTGGACAGTAATTGTTTTCTATTACTGACCTATCACTGAGAGATTAATTACTATCAGTTTAGTCTCTAAGTCTGTCTTTTATGTAAGAGATTATATGAAATCTGTATGAAATATAAGAAACTATTCAATAATCTCCTAAAATGAAACACTTATTTTCTCAGAACAGAGAACATTTTAAAAAATAAGTTATAGATATTATTTAATATCCAGGGATATCTGTATGGCTGTAGTCATTGAATAACCATTGTGACTTAAATGTTTATTAATTAGTACCTTTATAAGTCTGTTATAAAGTTATAATTCTTGCTTAATAGTTGTAAGGAAATAATCAAGGAAGAAATGCTATTCTGATGGTACAGGGAATATGGTAATCCAATGTTAATTTCAATTTTCAAATGATCCTGGAGATTGAAAGATACTGTCTTGAAAGTGTCCAGTTTTCTTTTTTATTAAAACATATCTGTAACTTAATAAATTAGAAACAGATACAATTGTACTTGTCAGACAAATTATTTAGCAGGCAAAAATTGTAGTCACATAACTTCCTACTTTACTTTTAGCTGCCTTTGTCTTATTGATTGGAAACCCTGGCATTGCTGAGGATTTTTGTCATTAAAGCAAAGTTCTTAGATACAGTCATCAGATTCTTCCCTCCAGGTGATGGGCTTGTCAGTGATGAATGAAGTGATCTATAAAAAAGATGCAGAAAGTGTGAAGGCAGAAAATAAATCTACTTGAACTTGTGCAGCAGAGCAGTTTATCACCATGCATCTGGCTGAGCATGTGCTGGCAGTGGACACTAGAGGAGACGTATAGTGAGAGCCACTAAGGGGCTTTTAGGAAGCCAGTGATTTCCTCTCAGAAGTGCTTCTTTTCTACTTATAATAGGAACGTTTATTCATTAAGAGAGAATAGAAACTCCAAGGTGGCCTGTGTTAATATACAAAGGAAATAATTACAGAATTTTTACTCAAGGTCTTGTACAACTTGTGGTAAAAGACTGGAAATACACACAAAGCAAAGTATATTTGTTGTTTTTCTTAATTAGAAAAACATCATCCTTAGAGTTGCTTCTCAAAGACTATTCTCAAGAAGCAGATGGTGATAGAGTAAGGTTTTATTTCATTCAAACAGTTACTGTTAGGCCAAGCGCAGTGGCTCACACCAATAATTCTAACACTTTGGAAGGCCAAGGTGACAGGATCACTTGAGGCCAGGAGTTTGAGACCAGCTTGGGCAACATAGTGAGACCTGGCCTCTACCCAAAAAAAAAAAAAAAAAAAATTAGGTATGGTGGCACATACCTATAATTCTAGTGACTTGGCAGGCTGAAGAGGGAGAATCACTTGAGCCTAGGGATTCAGAGTTGCAGTGAGCTATGACTGCACTACTGCAATCTTGCCTGGGCAACAGAGAGAAACCCTGTCTCTAAAAACAAACAAACAAACAAAAATAGCTACCATTTCAGCACTTTTGCTCTGCCCCTTGCTGAGACTTAGGGGAAGGAAGTCAATGATTTGTTGTTAAAGCTCAGTTACTTTCCAGAGAGGTAGGCTACCTGAGTTGGGATAAGCTAATGTCAAAGAACTGATCCAAAAGGTGAATTAAAATCCTTAGCTGTACTTGGATGGAACGCAGGAGCAGAAACCACTGTGTTCTAGGAACGTACCCCACAAAATCAGAATGTAAGAGAATGTGGCTGCCTCAACTTGGGGCTGTTCTCTTGGTATGATGAGGGGCAAAATGTACTCATTACAGAAATATGGCCAAATATTGCTTGCTTACGTCAATCCACATCTCTTTATAGCTAACTATTCTCAATCCCATTACAGAAATGGAAGCTAAGTTTAGCAAATTGTTTGGCCGTTTATGTTTAGTGCACACAATTTTTAATTAACAAAGTAAAATGCCACAATCCATTGTAAATCACTTTGCTAAACTTTCAAACTTAATAAGGAATTTTGTCTTGTCCAAAAGCTACTTTCAAACCCCTGCTGATCTGGCACTCATGTCTGATTCCCCGTGGAGCTAAGTGAAAGAATGTAAAGGGAGCCAATTAAAGAAACTTTGAGCCAGAATAGACAAGCAGAGGCCATCTTGTCCATCCTTCTGCCTTCAGGCAAAAACCATCCGCTGCAACACAAATTTTTGCTTGAATCCTGCTGACAAAAATGCTCACCACATGTAAATGACAAGTCATAATCCAGTTATTGCAACTAAAGCAGATTGTTAACTGCTCAAGACTTATTTATTGTGTTCTAAAGATGCTGAGTATGAAAGCTCATCTGAATTGTCTTAATTCCCTTTCTAGAAAATTATTTTGTACAAGAAATGTGCTCAAATAATTGTAAAGATGGGGGAGGTTTGTGTCCAGGAAATAAAGTTATCTTTATCATCTTATTAAATATATTTTTGGTTTCCTTTCACTGTAGGTTTACCTTATGGGTGGGAGGAAGCTTACACAGCAGATGGAATCAAGTACTTCATCAAGTAAGTACAAGCATCTCAACCAAGTAAGCAATTTTCTTCACATCTGGAGAGAACCTGGAAGTTGCAGAATAATCAGTAAAACTAAGAAACCTTCTTGGAGGTTACAAAAATTAGTAACAAGAAATGAAGCCTCACCATTTTCATTTCATGTGATTTAAATGCTAATATCAGATATCATTTGGTGGAAAAAACCTGGTAATAATTTCAAGGGAAACATGAAAAAATTGGAACAGAATCATCATTTGAACTTAAATGCTGGCTGCCTGAATTCACTTGCTGGCTAACAGTATTAATGCTTATGAAAAGTTAATAACTAACAAAAAAATCCATTTTGTATATCATTAAAAATTCTTAATAATAATACTAATAATCAACATTTTTAATGCTTTAAAATGCACACAGTTCATTCTGCAACTATTTTTTTGAGCATTTGCTGTTTGCCAGGCAGTGTTCGATGCCGTGGAGATATAGTGGTAAAATATATAGACTGGTTTCTTGATAGCATAGAATTTATATAACAGAGAGGAAAAACAGATAGTAAATGACTTGAGATAAATAAGACAGTATATGAACAAACCTTTCTTCAGTGGATTCTCAGAACAACCTCTTGAGGTATGTGTACTTTGTCGTTTTTTTCTATTTTATAGATGAAGAAAATAAGAGCCTTCAGTAGTTACCAAAAAATCTATCACTACTTAACTACCAAGCCAGAACTAGAGTCAAAGTCTTCTGACCCCAGTAATCTACTACTATAGTAGTCTGTCACTGATAAAGACCCATCCTTGAAAGCCTGAACAGGGATACATTTCCTAGATGCTGAACTGATTAGTTTTACCCTGGACAAAGCACTGTGACATACTTCTACCGTTACCTGAGAATTCCTTTTATGTCAGAATTGACATTATGAGATCACAAAAGGGAATCCCAACAGACTCCTAAGATCCCAGGAGACTCCTTTGTGTGTCCTTTTAGCAAAGTATACTTGGTATGCATTTTGGAAGGAAAAGGGAGACAATATGCAAATATTTTACAAAACAATATCTAGATTTTGGATTTTCACACCCTGTGACTTTACACAATTCCTAAATCTCTCTTAATCTCAGATTTAACATCATATAATATTATCTACTTTATAAAGTTGTTTAATGTGAAGCACCTAGCATAGAACTTGGAACTCAGTAGATACCCAATAAAAAGCCATCATGAATTTACAATGTGGAGAAACCATCATGGAGGGAAAAAAAAAATCCTGAACAATCATGTGACCATTAAGAACATTTAGAATTCAAAAGCTTCATATTTGAAAAAGTTTAAGGAAAAACTAGAGATAAACTTGGCAAAGTGTTTTAATGCTGAATTTTTTCTTGCAATCTCTAGCAAAAAGTGATTAATCAAGCAAAGGTGTTGTTTATTAAATGTGAAAGAAAAAGGAGCTTTTGGCATAGGGGACCCAGGAATTCCATGAAGATTACATTTGGCACCACACTCTTTACTTCCAGATTCAGACCTCTTCTGGAAGGGGCGCTTTCATATGCTGGGTTCATTATGTTTAGTTTCTGGAAGATTTAAATCACTGTACTGTAGGAATGGAAGGAAAATGAAAAAGTACATTCAAATCTGTGATGAATTTCTTTCTTTTTGATATTAACTTTGTAATTTATAAAGGAAAAGATGAGGGCATCAGCATTTACTGAGGACTAGCTTGTGCTTAATAGCCAGGAATAGGCTAAGTGTATTTCTCTATGTATTATGTCATTTAATGCTCTTAACAGTACGGAAAGTAGGTGTTGCTGGGCTCTTGTTGGAATGGAATTATGATGGTGGTGAGCTGCATCTTGCCCCTAGCCGTGCCTTTCTCCTAGAAGGCCCCCAAAAGAAATGCATGATTAAAAGAAAGAAAATTAGCATTCATTATTAACTGGGGTTTTGCATTTAGAGGCCTTTGAAAAATGTCAGTAAATGAGTCTGGACCCTGTGGGGAATTGCTTTACCTAAACTTAGCTGTCTGTCAGTATATCCTAACCCAGAGATGAATGTCAAAATCTAACAAGTGCCTTAAGAGAAAAGAATACTAGTGGCACAGTTAAACCAAACAAATAAGACAAGATATGGCCAACCAGAGAGTTGTTTTGTCTCCTTACACTGTTTCCCAGCTAGCTTAAGCCACTGTTCTCTGCAGACTGGAAATGGCCTTGGGCTGGACTCCCACTATAAGAGAGAATAGCATCCTGGAAGAGGAGAAAAAAGACAATCAATAAGCCCTTTGTCTGCCCTGAGAACTAACTCAGTGTCTGTGGAAAAAACAGAGGGATGCTACATTTATCCTATCCCCAGTCCTTCACTCAGAAAATATACCCGCAAGGGGTGTGTTTTGGAAGTGGGCCAATTTTTTTTCTTTGACATTAGTCTTGACACATAAGGAAAACAGAAAAAGAGATGATAAGATGTCTTACCATTTCATTAGGAGAAACCGTTAAAGAGGCTATACTCGTCAAGGTCACACAGTAGTAAAATTGCAGAGCCAAGATTCAGATCCAGAGTTGTCTGGCCCCTGTGCTCACACACACACACACACACACACACACACACACACACACACACACAGACCCATGCCACACCACCTCCATATTCTTATGTTAATATAGTATGCTGACGTGTAACAAGAAAGACACTTTAAAAAGATCTCAATTTAGGAAGAGCTTTATATTTTATTCATTTAAAATAGCAGAATATAAGCTTGATTGTAAGAATAAGAAGTTGTCTTCCAGAGATTAAAAAAGTCAAACAGTAGAAATAAGAAAATCTAACAATGTACCATTGCTTCTTTTACTCAGCCTTGTGAAGGAATGGGGTGCTTGGCATGAATTGGATTTTTTTTTTGTTGGAACTTAACCCTATTCAAGCACCAAAACTTATTTTAGTTTAACTGTTCTTGATGAAAGTCTTACTTTAATATATGTAACACACATCCCTGACTTCCTATACAGAGGCCAGTGAACAAAATCCTTGTGAACATCCATCATTATACACAATACAGCAAGTTCTACAGGCAATATTAAGCTGTATAAGACAAAGTAGAGACATAGCTGTCATCTCTTGCTGCTCTCAGTGTCCCTTTTCCTCCCTCATGCCCATTCTCTTTTGCCCCCTCTCCACAAGCCACCTTCTTTCCCAGCTTTGTATTTGAAGAGGACAGGATGCCAAATAATGAGGTTAATTTGAACTGCTTGTAAATAGCCCTTGAGTGTTGTTCTGCAGGAGTGCTTATGTAAGTCAAGTATGATACGTAAGTTCTGTTGCAGGTGGATTTGATTATGAGAAGGCCATCTGGTATCTGGGAAAGAAGAGCATGGGCTTTGGACTTGGAGAAACTTTAATTAAAATGACAGTGTCTACACAAAATAGCTGAACAAAATAGCTAAACCTTAGGCATATTTACTTAACCTCTCTGGGCTTGACTTCTACATTTATAAAATGGAAAGTATATCAGCACTTCTTAGGGTTTCTGTCCAGAATTAATGAGCTTGTGTATGTAAAGGGCCTATCATAGCACCTGCCCAAATTAGACACTTTCAACAAAGGTTAGCCCTTTTTACTCCCTCTCCTTGCTTTCACATTTTGGTGGGAGATTCTTCATAGTTCTTAACTGCATTCAACTAGGTGATGTTGCCAGGTAAGTAAAGTTTGCATATGCAGACATCTACTACATGTCTTTTTTGGAACTATTTAGTTTTGGGTTTTCATTTGTTTTTGTTTTGTTTTAATCTTCATTGTCTTTCTACCCCAACAAAAATTTTGACTCTGTATAGCTTGTGTTAGCTTTTGAGGTAAGTGATTCGTTTACCATATAGATGATACTTTGAAGGCAAGAAATAGTAAGTAATGAACTCAGATCACTGCTTTATCACCTCTACTTAAGAATGGTGACTGAAATCACCCTTTCAAAATACCGGAAGAGGTGATGGTCTATATATATATAGTCTCTTCCCTGAAATTGGCATCTGTCACTGCCTTCCCAGAAATTGAATTGTTACATCTGATGGAAGCCAAGCCTCTGGCAAGGGAATAACTGTCACTGGCGTCCTAAGAATGTCCAGATGAACATAGTCCTCATTGAATATTCCTGCCCATTCACATGTCCATCACACATATATTAATACTTTGTCATCTACTTAAATTCTGATGCAAGAGAAGAAAGCATTTTACCTAGGACGAACAAATTTAATCAGTGATGGCATTGCTACAGCCAATGTTTCATAAAATTAATAAACATATATCTCTGTGTGTGTGTGTGTGTATGTGTGTGTGTGTGTGTGTGTGTGTATGTGTGTGTATGTTTGTATGTGTTTGGGTACCAATGTGTATATGCATATATGCATGTGGGCAGAGCTTGCTCATTTGCCTCATATATATGTAAAAAAGAAAATACATTATTTGTATCGTTTTAAAATATATCTGTGCATTCTAGGAAATTTTTTCTTATTTTCTCCTTAAAAAGAGAGTTGCAACATTCTTTAATAACAAACTGTCCATGATCTTGAGGGTGCTATAATGAAATTGTCTGTTGGTGATTTTTCAAATACGTATAATCATTTGCTTTTAAGTTACTTAAATTTGGCATATAATTCTCCATGCATTCATTTGGGTTGATATGCCTTTATATCAGATCCTAAAATCTGAGATGTTGTTCCTCATGTTATAAATTCCATTCTTTATCACATAGGCAGTATTAGAACATTACAAATGCATGTCAGTAGAACCTAGAAAGTCTGTGTGTTTGAATAAGAAAAGTTTTTGTCTAGAACAGGGAAGGGAAATCGATTTTAACTCATGCCAGCTCTGCTGATAATAGCTGTCTCAAGTATTATTTTGAGAAGAATTCTAAGGATGTATTCAACTTCACTGATGTATACCTTGATCAACTGGAGATGTCTACTATGGGTTTAGAGGGAGAAGTGGTGTATAGGACACACGCCACATCCTTGCAATCTTGTTCTTCT